GAACCGGAATGGTTAACCGGATATGAGGCCCGAAGCGGTTTAAACGGCCTAACCGGTAAACCAGCAGATTCAACCGTTTTAACCGGGCAAGTCCCACGTGGTCAAAAATTATTGAAAAAAATAAAAAAGATGCAAAAAAATTCTGTTAAAATATGAAAAACATATAAGGAATGATTAAAACAAAACACATTCAAATAAAGTTGAAAATTAATAAAAAAAAAATGGATTTTAAAGAATCGATTCGTGCCTAGGGGTAATTTCAAAAAAATTTAAAAAAGATGGAAAAATATAAAAATGAGTATTAATGACCAAAATAATTTTTAATATTTACCATAATGTAAAAAATATTAAGAAATATATTACAAACCAAATTTTTTATTTTTGGGATTTTATATACATATATATTTTTTTAAATATCGTCCAATCACCAAAACCACCCAGAACCGAAACCGCCAAGGGACCGGTTTCGAACTAACCGGGTGGTTACCCATTAGATCGCCGGTTTTTCTAACATTGGTTCAAATAGTAATCTCTTGGTCCTCACACCTGAAGATCAAGATGGAGAGGAGAGCTGCAGTCTCATTCAGACAAGAACAACCACTCCAAGACAAAGAGAAAGAGGGGAAAGAGTTGTAATCTCAAAATAGAAAACAAACTATTGAAATCCGAATATCTTTCTCTATCACTTAACCCAACAATTCTCAAAACAAAGTGGAAAATATCTAATTTAATTCTCGAATTACAAAGACACTAGTAACTTACACACCCAACTAACTACATAGTCCTCGAGGGAAAAAAGGAAAACATATACAACGCGGAGAATTATGCTGCCATAGAAAATTATGCTGCAATGTCTTTGTCATTTTCTTTTGAGAATTGTAATGGAACTTCAAAAAGGAAAATAGAATGCAAATACCACATAATGTACATAAATAACCATATTCAGTTAGCACCTAAATAGTTGCCTTTACTATATCATTACAATACAATGAAGATAAACTAAATAAAAGCTAATTGGGAATCATATCACTAATATAATAGGAACTCAAAATTGACACCTTTGTATCACTATCATCTGAAATGGCCATCTAAACTCGATGAAGATTTTTTTTTTTATATATAATGTCAATGAAGAAATATTTATGTTCGTATATTAAATATCCATTGGTAGATAAGAGTGAGGACCTTAAACTTTCTCTTAACCGTCATAAGCCCGGATAAAAGAGGTGGGTTGCATTAAGTAGCAACTAGCATAAAACTTTTGTCACATCTCGATGATGATTGAGTATCCATTAGAATTTGCCAAAACAAAACTATAGACTAAATCAATAAAGAGATTGAATAAGAAGCAACAACATGATAAAAAGGTACTCAAGAAATATGGAAATATTCATCCTAATCATGAAGTTGGGATGGAGCCTTACAATTGGTTTGTTACATGAGGCATCAGATTTTTACTTTTTCTTTTCTTTTCTTTTTTTTTAAAAAGTCTAGGTCTTAAATGGTCAAACCCTCATCATATCCCTATCTCAATGGGGAACCATCAGTATATTCCTAACCATATGATTTAAGTTGATCACAACAAACTCTAGATTGCAAAAGAAAAAGGAAAAATCAGTTGTTTTGGCTCCAAACCTAATCTAGGATCCCTAGGAAATACCTTACTAATTTTCCAATTGATCATTCTAGAAAAGACACGCAACAAAGGACAAGATGAATAGAGCGTATTTACTGTAAAGATTCACACACGAAAGCTAGATCGGGCCTACAAATTGCAACAAGCAATGCAATATCTGATTTGCAAAGAAAATAAATGATGGCCAAATTTAAATCATCACCACAAATAAAACTAAGATTATCTAAATTTAAAACTGACACTGAAAAGATCTAAACAAAGTCATAAGATCACAATACAAAACTAACCGTACTCAATTAAACTTACTCCGAGTGAAAATAATTCTAAACACCTTAACACGACGGAAGACAAAAAGATATTAATTAAAATCGAAAATTATGGACACAATAGTTTCATGCTTCATATCACTCTTCGACTTGACGAATGATGGAACCAAATGATATTATCTTGATAATGACATTAGATGTGCAAGCAATCCTCTGTATCAAACCATCATGTTGAAGTCACGGAAGCAAATCACGTGATATTAAGAAAAATCACTTAATTAAACATGAGTTATTCTGTAGTACACAAGAATAGTAAATTTAGAATTTTTCTACTCCAATATCTTTTACCACAAAATGGCCTTACATTTTCAGCGATATTTGACCATGTTCATGTATTTCAAAAAGATTTTTTTTATTTTTTTTAAATTTCTCTAAAACTCAATTTTAAAATTGAAAAGTTTCAACTTTTAAAATGATGATCGGATTTCCAAAACAATTCAAATATACCTCTCTCAATTTTATAATAATCTATTGATAATGTTATTTTTATATTTATAAAAATATGTTATCATCAAAAGTTGTGAAGTGGGAAATCCTGTGATATATCCTAAGGTAACTCATTAAATAGAACTACGTCTTCTTCTGTGAATGACATATGATTGTAGGGGTAAAATTGTTATAAAGGAAAAAGTTTATATAAGGCAAGGCTCTAAACGATCAAATTTCGGCACACCTCAAAATTTTACTAGAAGAAGTTATTTTATTACCAAAAAATCCTCAAGTTAATCATCTTGACCTCAACACATATGGATGTGAGAAAAAATACACTTCGAGTCTAAAAGATAGTGCATCTTGTAATACATTTTTTAGACCGTCAATTTTCAAGATTTTCAAGTGTTCATAAAACTGCATAATCTACACTATTTTTGAAGTTTTAAATTTTGTAATTCGAGATGAAAATAAACTTTCAGATCATCACAAAGATTTTGAGTACTAAAATATCTTTCAACAACATTTGAAGGTACGCCTTACTTTGATTATTTAGATAAATGAAATAAAATTTAACAATGTTATTAACAAACAGACATATTAAGTATATAAATGCAATCACCCCCTCTATAGGAAACTGATTTGTACATGAGTGCAAACGCCCAATGATTGGTCTCGTGTTATGTTATGGGCTTATGGCCTTGTATTATTTTATTTTATTTTATTTTTTTTTTAATTTCTTTTTTAGGTCGGATTTATATGAAAATTTTAGAGTTTACCAAATTTCAATATAGCACATCCAAATAAAATATTTTGAAACCTGAAAGACGACTATACTACACACAAAAAAGGCATGGGTAGTTTGATCAGAGTCATGCCCGACCAACGTGCATAGTAGCTAGTTGCGGACTTGGACAAGGTCATATGGCCTACACGTCAGACCCGTTTCTCCTAAGCCACATGCCCGCAGGCCAGTGGTGTATGTGGTGCATAAGTGGTCAAGGGCTTAGGTCAAAGAAACCCTCTTTAGTGCATCAACGGGCGCATGTGCTACTTTGGTTAGAAATAACCTTCACAATCCAGTTTTTTATATGCATGATTATATACGTAAGGGGTGAATACCTCTCTCGTTTAACCATGAAATGGGTAAGGGTGTGATGCATTAAGTGTACGGTGTGCGTATAGATGGGGTTTAACCATGCAATGGGTCAGGGTGTGATGCATTAAGTGTACGGTGTGCGTATAGATGGATTGACGGCTAAAAACCTTTGGTATAAGACTTTGGGTATGAAGAGACATGGGTTAGTTACATGTGTAATGGGTGAGTCACGCACCAAGATGGACAAGTGTGGATTGCTATGGTTAGGTTATGTAATTGCCCAATTACCGTTAGTCATTTGAGAGTGGTAGTGCATATGTGAATGAATCATTGGACCTGCAGACCCGCTGTAACATTTCATGTTGATACATTGCTAGTCATGACCCTAAATTGGTGCTGTGCTTTATGAATTTACCCCCCGAACGTTGCATACTACAACAACAGGCGTGAGAGCAATGACCGGAGAATAATATGTTGACAGGCACCATCACGGCCGCATCGTCCGTTTGAAAGGTCACGGCGGAAAAGTGCCCAGGCCAAGCATGCAACTCATGTAACTTACCTTCAAACTAAACTATCACCGTCACAACAATTGATTCACGGGTTATAACAGTTGTGGTTTATTACACATGAGTTGGAGGGGCAATCCCGTCATTTTCAAGAATTCAAGGGCAACGTCCGCACCTCTTCTCTACGACTTAGATAATGACATCTGGCATTAAACGGCCACGGCCGTACTCAGTCACGTGAGCAAACCGCCCCCCGGAAATACGTCACGTTAAAGCAACGGGAAGCATGAGAGAGTCAAATGAATGAATGAGAGAGCCTGAAATAGTAGTGGATGGTCAGATCAAAAGTTACAGAGCGAGAAACAAACGAATAAAGGAAAGCAGAGAGGAAAAAAAAGGGAAAAAATGCCAAAACAGTAGCGACAGACCGGGTAAAAACTAAAAAAATCTCAGGGAAAGAGAAAAATAAAAAAGGGAAAAGCAGCAACAATTGATTCCTGAAACAAGAGTCAAAAGAGACCGGTGAAACCGTCTAAGCAGCAAAGAAAGAAAGAAAACCAGATAAATAATTTAGAGGGACAACGGTAAAGGGATGGAGCAGGAAATTTATAGCAGTGAAAGACGAAACTAGGACAGGTTAGGAGAAAGAAAATTGAGGCAAAGGAGCGTGGTAACCAGGAAAAAAAAACGAAACCGTCGCCGTCTAATTCTAACGGCCATAATTGAGAAGTCGGACCCCAAACCGGAACTTTACACGGGGCAACTCCCCATTCGCAAGTTTCTTAGAATCCAAAGCTGAAGAGATTTTAGGAGACCAATGCCCCATTCTTTTACATTAATGATACTCATAACCCCATGAATATGCGCCACAAGTTGATGGTTTACGGTCGTCATAACATACAAAGTTGGGCCCTAAATAGAATGAATCAAACGGATGGGATTTTTTGCACCTGTAATGTCATATACATCAAAGAGCGATGAGATTTTAGTCATTTTACGTGTATAAGTACCAAGTAGCTCGTCTGACTCTGAGGCTTGTAGCATTTGGCTCAGAGTGTACTGGAGGGGAAGAGGAAGAGGACGAGAGAGAAGCAAAGATCTCTTCCTCCAGTACCTCTAGACAAGAGAGAGAAAGAGGAGGGCCGGAGACTCAGATCCCTTAACGTAGAGAGAGAAACACTGGCCAGACTGAACCCTGTTTACAGTGGCTCTGTCAAAGAGTGAGAAAGAGGAGATTGAGACGTACGAGCCCTGTTTAGGGTGACTTTGTCAAGCGCAAAAGGAGAGAGGAAATTCAGAAGTAAGAAGTCTTCTTACAATAGCTCTGGGGTATAGAAAGAGAGAGGAGTGAACTCAGAAGCCAGAACTCACGTTAGAGAAAGAAAGTTTTGGGAATGGCGCTTCGCCTTCTTCTCCTCTGTTTTCTGGCAATTTCGTTGGCCACAAGCGAAGCCTCACACGATTATGGAGACGCCCTCAAAAAATGTATAACGTTCTTTGAAGGCCAACGCTCAGGAAAACTTCCCTCTAACCAGCGTTTAACCTGGCGGCGCGACTCCGCCCTAAAAGACGGCTCCGCCGCTCATGTAAGTCTTCTCCTTTCTCTCTCTAACCGAAATTCCGTAACCGGCATTTTCTTCTCTCCCTTCCCTGTATCTCTAACCATCACTTCCGCCATTTTCAGGTGGACTTAACAGGCGGCTACTATGACGCCGGCGACAATGTGAAGTTTGGCTTTCCGATGGCTTTCACGGCAACATTACTGTCCTGGAGTGTTATCGATTTCGGCAAATCAATGGGCTCGGAGCTGGAACACGCACTCTCAGCGGTCCGTTGGGCCACGGACTATCTCCTGAAGGCCTCGGCAACGCCAGGAGTCTTGTACGTTCAGGTAGGGGATGCATTTTCCGATCACAACTGTTGGGAACGGCCCGAAGACATGGACACTCTGCGCACGGTCTATAAGGTGGACAAGGACCACCCAGGGTCTGACGTAGCAGGCGAGACAGCCGCTGCCCTCGCCGCCGCCTCTATCGTTTTCCGGGAGCGCGACCCCGCCTACGCTCGCCTGCTTCTCGACCGAGCGATGAGTGTAGGCACACTTTCTCTCTCCTCAATTCAATTTCTCTCTCTAGGATGCTTTCCTCCAATTTTTAATTTCTCTTTGAGAAGGTGTTCGAGTTTGCGGACAAACACCGGGGGGCTTACAGCAAGAGCCTCAATTCAGCCGTTTGCCCTTTCTACTGCGATTTCAACGGTTACCAGGTGAATACACCACGATATCCGACCGTTGATAAAAAAAAAAGAAAAGAGCCCTTTGCCCTTTTGGCACAGTGGTGTCCTATGTGGCATCTCTCTCTCACACGTCATTGGCTTTCTCTCTCATCCCACACGTACTTTTCATGTGAGCAGGACGAATTGTTGTGGGCAGCGGCATGGCTCCACAAGGCCTCGAAGCAGCGGGCTTACAGAGAATACATAAAGACAAACGAGAAGGTCTTGGGTGCGGACGACACCATCAACGAGTTCGGTTGGGATAACAAGCACGCCGGTATCAACGTCCTCATTTCCAAGGTAAAAAAATGCCCACTACTACTACTACTAATTGTTGAGGCCATTTTAGTCCCTTTTAAAAATCTCTCTCTCTACATTTTTTTTTTTCATGTACAGGAAGTTATGATAGGGAAGGCATACTATTTGGAGTCTTTCAAGTTGAACGCGGACACTTTTATTTGTTCTTTGTTGCCGGGCTCATCTCATCGTCAGATTGATTATTCACCTGGTTTGTGTTATTCTTTGGTTAAAATACTTTCATTTTATTCTTGGGTTAAAATACTTTAATTGTTTTGTTCTTTGGTTAAAATACTTTAATTGTGTTGTTCTATGGTTAAAATACTTTAATTTTGTAACCGTGTTTTTTTTTGGTGGGAACGGGGGGTAGAGCGAGAGCTAAAAGAGCGGCGCCATTTATTTCATTAAATTATACGCTTTATTGTACTCTCATGCGACCCTTTTATTCATTAAATATACGCTTTATTGTACTCTCATGCGACCCTTTTATTCATTAAATATACGCTTTATTGTACTCTCATGCGACCCTTTTATTCATTAAATATACGCTTTATTGCTCGTACAATCGAAGATACTACTTTGGTTTAGTTGTTATTGATTCCGCTATTGAATTGTATTTTTTTAGGTGTTATAACGGTTTGTTATTATGCAGGAGGGTTGATTTTTAAGACGGGCGGAAGCAATATGCAACATGTAACGGCGCTTTCGTTTCTGTTGCTTGCGTACTCCAATTATATGAGCCATTCCAACCAGCACGTGCCTTGTGGTGGGGATGTAACAGCTACCCCCGCTCGACTCAAGCAAATTGCCAAGCGCCAGGTGAGCGTTTTAGCCCATTAAACTCTTTTTGTGAAGGCACGTATTATGATAACCAACCTACTTCTTTTAAAATATATTTAAACCCGACCTTTTTTAAGATCTCCTTGGGGCCACAACGCGGCCAGCCTCACCCCACCTCTGATTTAAAAAATGCCGGGTCAGTACGAAATCATTTGGTCCGATTTGAAAACCGGTCAACCGGTTCTTATTCTATATATATATATATATAAAAATGTTCGAGTTTAAGAGGAAACCTCGGTTCTGGGCACAATAAAGATTCTCTACACACAACCATTTAGATTAGCTTTTGGCCAATTCACCAATTTTTTGTTTTTTTTACGTATTTTTTTGGGTGATTCATTGCTTTTTCCACATAAAAAAGTGAAAATTTAGACCGCCAATTCATCAATCTAGTTTTTATGATGTCTGATTTGGATTACCTATCCATTTTAGTGATTATGCCAACAAAGCCCTGGTCCTACCCTGCCCTAATCGTTGTAGGGCTGGCCCGCCATAGACTAGGCTAAAGAGGATGTGGATGTGGATGTGGACCATAGAAAATTAACAAGCAAATTCTTTGATTCGTGTGTGTTTGAATAAACAGGTGGACTACATACTGGGGGATAATCCGATGCGTATGTCGTACATGGTGGGATACGGCGAGCGTTTTCCACGGCGTATACACCACAGGGCCAGCTCGCTTCCCTCCCTCACCTCGCACCCGGCTCGTATTGGCTGCAAGGCCGGCACCCGCTACTACCTCGCGCCGGGACCCAACCCCAACTTGCTGGTGGGCGCGGTGGTTGGTGGGCCCAACCGCACCGACTCGTTCCCGGACTCGAGGCAGATCTTTCAATTGTCCGAACCCACCACCTATATTAACGCGCCCCTAGTTGGCCTCCTCGCCTACTTTTGGGCCCACCCCTGATCGCATCCTTCGACGCTTTGACTTTCGCTCTCTCTCACTCGTTATTCTCTCTTTTTTATCGATCTCCCTCTCCTCTTTCTGCTCTCTTCCATTACTTTTGGACGTAAGTCTTTTGACACAACAACGCATCTCTTCTCTCTCCCCTTTTTCTCTCTCTACATTTCTCTTTCCCTCCCTCGTTCTCTCTCTATGTATAATTGTATATGTGAGTGTTTTAAAACCCAGTGATTGTTCTCTTACTCTCCCAAACTTGCCGAATCTGTCTCTGCAATATGTTATCTCTAAACTATACTACAGTTTCACTCTCTTGTGCTTCTGCTTTTCCCCTCTTTTCTACATGATATTCTCTCTCTCTATTTTGCCTGAGTCTTTTTTTCTTTTTTTTTTTTTTTTGGCCTTTTCCCTTTGTGACCTTTAGAATTTTTTTTCTTTTACTCAAAAGCCCAGCTTGTAATTATTAGGGCTAGGTTTGTCGGGGTTTCTTCTCTTTTTGTATTTTAGGGCAAATTGTGGAATAAATTCTCCATTTTGTTTGGGGGTGAGTAGCTTTGGTTCGGTCTTCCATACAGGTTTGCATTTATATGTCTTGGGCAGGGTGCGCATGGGACATGGGAAATTGATTATCATTTATCACCGAAATGCCCCTTGCGTCTACAGTGAAGCTAGTCAGAGTAGAGAGGAGGTACCATTGGAGAAAAGCAATAGAGTGTGTGGTCTTCTTCCCCTCGAAATAGAATAACTTTTTGATTAAAGTGCTAAAAGGAAACGAGAATTGCGCATTGTTTGTCTTATACCCATACTTTTTCTTGCATAAAAATTAAAATCGTTGAAATTAAGATAAAAGGTCCATTCAAAGTTTGAGCATCAAACTAGGGGCTCCTCAAAAATTTACTAAAAAAAATTGTTTTCATGTCAAGAAACCCTCCGAATGCCATCATCTCTACATTAACTTGAAGCTTTAAATGTTATAATTGAAGATGAAAATAAATTTTTAAGTCATCATAAAGATTTTCAGCATAAAACTGTATCTTTTGACACTATTGTGAAGGTGCACCTTGCATTAATTGTTTATTTTGACACTATTGTGAAGGCGCACCTTGCATTAATTGTTTAGGGCCTCAGCCTTATACAATTCACATCCAAAATTAAAATCTTTAATCCTTTATAACTAGGAGAATTTCCACTAGCTAGTCTTATGTGAAGGGAAAATCAGCATAAAGGGCTTCTAAATAAAAGTAAATATATGTAGGATAAAATTTTACAAGATTTTTGGTTCCAAAGTCTACTTTGACAATGAGTATAATAAAATTTTACAAGATTTTTGGTTCCGGAATCTACTTCCATGAATACTTAGGTCTGGAAATGGGCTAGTTCAGCCTTGCTCGGTTCCGGTCCCCGACATGGGTCATAATGTAGCCCTAGAGAAGGGCCACGTCTGGGCCTAGGCCTTAGTCACGAGGAAGCCCCAAATTCAATCCCGCCCAGTCCTCTATGTTTTTATCTTGTGTAACAGTTATATAATAGAAGAAAACCCAAAAACAAGACCTTTCCTTATCAAACTCCAATCAATATATATTAAAGGGCGTGGTCTGCATAAGGTTGCAACATTAAACAATCCAAATTAAGACGCACTTTTGAATTTTATTATAAATGTAATTTTGATATAAATTTTTTTTAAGATTGGCTTGGGAATCTATTTTTATCTCTAATTATAAAACTTTAAACTCTAAAAATAATTCAAATCAAGTACATCTATAAAGCCATAAAAATGTTAAAAATTTGCGGTCCAGATGATGTGTTGCAAGATACACTATTTTGTGGACCCAAAATCTTTTATATATATATATATATATATATATATATATATATAGTCTCT